GTGTTAACCGTGGGCCCTGGGCTTAGCCAGTTAACTCGACCAAGTTTGTTCCGTGGTCAGTCTGCCCGGTCGCAAACTGAGTGTTACTGAAGGTCAACTGGTTTATACGTGATAATTTACTATCGTTAACTCCGTTCATCCCGTAGCCGAACTGGCCTCTGACATTCGCCACTCCTTAGGATAGATACTTCCTGACAACATAAGTCTATGTTTTTTGCCTAAGTCGGTAGTCAAGTATCTCTATAAGGTATGGGATGGCCACGTGGTTGTGTCAACCTTTAGTTACTTAAATCTAAGATGTCCTATGGTTGCAAGTCAATAGTTAGTCCACTTATGTAAGGTCAATGTTTATCTAAATTTGACACATTCATTCTCCTGAGTCAGTTACTTGAGAAAACAGTACATATACGTTTCTTTGAGGTCTGTACACATACAAGGATAACTCTTCCCTCTGTGGCTACCAATGATGTCAATACCTGTCACAAATATGCCACCATTTCCTGACACCTACTGATCATTATGGTGATGACTGGTGATGACTAAAAAAATTTGGGTAGACAATCAACCTCCCAGGGACCCACTAACCCAACTACACTCCCCTGCCTAGTTGGACGCCATCTAATGCACTTCCCAGCGAAAACGTATATCAACGGTCATCATAGATATCAATGACTCTTCCCGTGTACTCTATGGGTAATATAGAAGCCTCCCGTCTTCCTGACATACCGTCGTGAATGTGTGTCTTTTCAAGCAATCCCTCCTGCGGACACTAGTCACACCTTCTGACCCACAGGGCAGTATAAATAGTTAACTCAAATGTGGCTTGTGAGACACATTCACAACCAACAGGGACGAAGTCAAACCTCCAGTGTATTTCCCCTGATGTACAAATTTTAATGTAATCTGTGGTTACTCTCAGTGAATATTCAGAATAATAATAAAATAAAAATCAACATATGTTTTATAAAAACCAAACCAACTACTATATGTTATTTATTTATTTCATTTAAAGTTGTATGTAGTTTCATTATAAAGTACGTATGTATGTATGTATGTATGTATGTATATATGTATGTATGTATGTATGTATGTATGTATGTATGTATGTATGTATGTATGTATGTATGTATGTATGTTATGTATGTATGTATGTATGTATGTATGTATGTATGTATGTATGTATGTATGTATGTATGTATGTATGTATGTATGTATGTATGTATGTATGTATGTATGTATGTATGTATGTATGTATGTATGTATGTATGTATGTATGTATGTATGTATGTATGTATGTATGTATGTATGTATGTATGTGGGTATGTATGTATGTATGTATGTATGTATGTATGTATGTATGTATGTATGTATGTATGTATGTATGTATGTATGTATGTATGTATGTATGTATGTATGTATGTATGTATGTATGTATGTATGTATGTATGTATGTATGTATGTATGTATGTATGTATGTATGTATGTATGTATGTATGTATGTATGTATGTATGTATGTATGTATGTATGTATGTATGTATGTATGTATGTATGTATGTATGTATGTATGTATGTATGTATGTATGTATGTATGTATGTATTTATGTATGTATGTATGTATGTATGTATGTATGTATGTATGTATGTATGTATGTATGTGTATGTATGTATGTATGTATGTATGTATGTATGTATGTATGTATGTATGTATGTATGTATGTATGTATGTATGTATGTATGTATGTATGTATGTATGTATGTATGTATGTATGTATGTATGTCATGTATGTATGTATGTATGTATGTATGTATGTATGTATGTATGTATGTATGTATGTATGTATGTATGTATGTATGTATGTATGTATGTATGTATGTATGTATGTATGTATGTATGTATGTATGTATGTATGTATGTATGTATGTATGTATGTATGCATGCATGCATGCGTGCATGCGTGCGTGCGTGCGTGCGTGCGTGCGTGCGTGCGTGCGTGCGTGCGTGCGTGCGTTTGTGCGTGCATGCATGCATGCATGTATGTATGTATGTATGTATGTATGTATGTATGTATGTATGTATGTAGGTAGGTAGGTAGGTAGGTAGGTAGGTAGGTAGGTAGGTAGGTAGGTGGGTAGGTGGGTAGGTAGGTAGGTAGGTAGGTAGGTAGGTAGGTAGGTAGGTGGGTAGGTGGGTAGGTGGGTAGGTGGGTAGGTAGGTAGGTAGGTAGGTAGGTAGGTAGGTAGGTAGGTAGGTAGGTAGGTAGGTAGGTAGGTAGGTAGGTAGGTAGTATGTATGTATGTATGTATGTATGTATGTATGTATGTATGTATGTATGTATGTATGTATGTATGTATGTATGTATGTATGTATGTATGTATGTATGTATGTACGTATCTAGGTAGGTAGGTAGGTAGGTATGTAGGCAGGCAGGCAGGTAGATAGGTAGGTAGATAGGTAGTTAGGTAGGTAGGTATATATGTATGTGCGTGTAACTGAGTGAAGAGTAAGTGAGTGTGTGTATGTGTGTGAGTATGTGTGTTTATGTGTGTGTGTGTGTGTGTGCATGCATTTTACCATCCATGCTTTTGTGCTTTTTTTCCCCTTGAAATTCATGTTATGCAAATCGTTGTATGAACATTACATGCTGTATTGGTAAAATACAATTGCCGTATGAAAGATTGGTGTTTGGTAGAACCGAATGTAAAGACAGGCATGGGTGCTCATTTTGTGACTTTAAAACAATAATGTTCATTGTTTCCTGCATTCTATCTTCATCTAATTGGGTGATTTTCTGACTAAAGTCTCTCGTCTTTAAAATATTGCTCTTAGTGTTTATGTTTCTACGTCTGCAGTCGTCGATAAGTGCATCAGTCAAATTTGCCTGGGGGTAAAGGCAACCAACATAAGACATAACACAACACCCATAAAGTCGATTTTATTGTCACTAATTGTTTTCCCCTTCTCTGAGGGTCCCAATAACACACGGTTGAAGACATATCTGGCTACAAACATGTGATGTGCAAGAGGGTATCCAGTACAACTCTAGGCTATTGATATAACGATTTACTTGTCCTCTTAGGACCGTTACTAGATGATTTACCACAGTGAGAATAGAAACAATCCTAATTATGGATGGAAGTCTGACAAAAAAGTTCCTAGATACCCCATTCAACCTCCAGAGAAGTATCCAAGTAAATCCGTGACCCGGAGATCAGCCCTAAGCAACCTGCAGTACAGTGCACGTCCATCTCAGCTCTATCCCCTGTTTTATTCATAATACATGTGTGAGGTTTTTATTTTATTTTAAAGGTACGCAACAGTGCACAGTACTGACACCGTTTCCAGGCCTCATGTTTTCGCCAGTACTTTAATGACAAGGTAGCCACCATAATGTAGCGGATAGTCGCTACAATAAAGGTCTTGCACTACATGCCCAATGCCCATAGACGCAGGGAAAAATATCCTTTACAATTCACTAAAATAGATACATTGTGTTGTCTACCAGTATTGTTTTTTTCTAAAGGGGGAAAGTGACTTCTATATGTGTAATACCCAGTTACATTACTTTTTATAAACAGATGTATTTACATAAGATGACGCCTGGCTTCAGCAAATACGTCACTTATAGATGAGCTCGTTGTTCCAACATTTCTGTATTGGTTCCCAAAAAAAAAAAAAAAAACTGTAGAATGACAGTTGGAGTAAGTCATCTTTTGGTCATAGTGTTTGCTGTTAATACGGAATACCGTGAGTACACATGTTAACTCTTTCATTTTGCTTGAAGCGTGTGTGAATTATTGAAGCAACTTAACGAACATTAAATAGTAATGACTAGAATTATGTGAAATATTCTATTCGCTTGCAATATTTATCTTTCATTACATCAACCAACTTAACCCAACACAGCCGTTTACATAACGTGTGTGTATATATATGTATATATATATGGATATACGCATAGATGCTTTGGTCAACTGGTGTTGCTGTTATCTTTAATTTCGGAATAAATCTAGCCGTGGGCAGGACCAAGGTGCAGGGTGCAACATATGGTCTATACAGTACTGCCCAGGCTATGTCCTATGGAGTGTAGAAACTTTTTAGACCGCATTATCTGGTATCCATACGGACTGTGATTCTAGTCAAGCCTAGTTCAACACTCTCGTTTGGAGGTGCGTAAAGAAGCTAAAACAACAGCACATACACTTTATCTTCTTTCTTGTTTGCTTGCCTGCTGTTTGCCAGCACACCTGTTCAGTAATTTCTGTTTTTAGATATCTTTATCAAGTTGTCTTTTTTTTTTTGGGGGGGGGGGGGGGGGGGGGGGCAAAGATGAAAGCCTTCTTTCAATATGTCTTATCTTCATGTGGCTGTCAGCTCATCTCTTAACATTCTTCTGTCTTTCCAAGCGACAGTGCCACACTGATCTCTAGTTATGCTTAGAAACTTTTTCCAGTGGTGACATTGAGTTCGACTAGATCTGCTAGTGTTAAGATAAATCTTTGGCAACATTTCAGAATTATTGTTATCACCACATTTGTTTGTCATGCTTTTCGGTGGGCGCGGGGTTGGTGGGGGAAGGGTGCCTGAACAGGACCATCTTGGGCAAAAGGACGGACCACAGGTGACAGTCTCAGTGTGTGTATACTGCTTGACATTGTTGGCACTCACGCGGTTAGCAGACGCTGACAGTTAGGTCAGTGGGTCAAAGAAATTCATGGCGAAGTCACACATGTTGTGCAGATTGTCTACAAAAATATAGGTTTTGTCCTATATGCCCTATACGCCTAAAGGCGTGCAAAAGGGTTTTTTGCTTACTTTACTTATTTAAAACAAAGGTCCTGAAATACCCAGCTATGATTGGCTAATCATACTGGCCATCGCATCAACTGTCCCCCTTGTAGCGCAGTATATCAATACCCACTGAAAAAAACCCTAAAAGATGCCAATCAGTGAAGTAAAATTACACACTTTAGTTAACATTCTATATTTTACCATCAGCAGTGCTTGCGTCCGGCTACATTATAACATGTTTGTTCAAAAGTGCTGCGAGGTTGAGAATCAACGAGGCTCGCTTTACGGTTCAGGATATAGACTTCACTCTGTGTACACACTACGTCTACGGCTATGCCAGGGTGGACGTCAGCCGTAATACCATCTCTTCCATGGAGCCAGACATAGAAGAAGGACCCAGTGGGCTGTACAGGTAAGCGTCGAGTTGAGTTCAGAACCGACATCAAATAACTACGGGCTAAACGCCATGTTCCTATCTTCAGTAGCCAGCGCAGACTTTTAGTTTCAATAGCACTAGTAGTAGTCTGATTAAACGTCCATCGTGTATGTAGTGTTTGCCAGAGCCACTGGTCATTTCCTGTTGAAGCATTCTCTTAGACCATTCTCTTCAGATTGTGATCGTATACACGTGTTTGTGCATCCACTTTGTTCACTCGCTGGTGTACATCCGCTTCAGTTCACATTAAACTGTATAGAGAACGCCGAAAACGACGCCCATTCATCAGGTTGTTGTCTCAGTTCTGCATTTTCCACGCCCATCTGCCAACTGCTATAGTAATTGTTGTTTAGTGTTTTCACTACTCTGTCGAAGATGCAGAAACAGATGATTATCTCCTGCTGTTCTTATATTATCTCTCTTTTAATTGTAACTTTCTATAGCAGTTCTGTATTGATGACGTTGTTCTCCATTTGCCAGACATTTCAACAGCGCCAAAGAGAAACTCAAGTCCATCAAGACACTGCTGTCTGTTGGAGGGTCTGCTGCCAGCAGTGATGCCGATTTCCATGCGCTGCCTGACTCAGACACCGACCTTCTTCAGTTCTCAGAAAACGCTCTGGCATTTGTGAAGCAAAACCACTTTGATGGTCTGGATGTCGACTGGCAGTATCCCGACAACCCGGCCATGAAGAGAAAGCTCGGTAGGCTTTTGCAGGTACTCTATTCCTAAACCAGATGAACATCTGCCACTGCCATAACTGTCATTACCACTTATTCACTACTTTTGCCGTGTAGGCAGGGGTGTCTCTGAGCCCTAGGAGTGCTGTCGCCATGGAGTGTAAGGTACGGATTTTTTCCAGGCTGAATAAAATCTTTAACCTTACGGAGGATTTAAATCCAGATCTTCCACTTGTGAGGCTGACGTTCTAACTGTTCTGCCAGCCACTCCTCACGTTAATATCACGGGCATCAATGCTATCACAATCATCATCATTATCTTCACCGTTGTCATAAACATTACCGGCCTCATTCATTAGCATCATGATCATCACTGTGATCACCAACATCTTTATTCTCCTATTCATTATCATCATCGTCATCACGATGATCTATCTACACCAGTGGTCGGCAAACTCTTCAGTCAATAGAGTGAAAAAGCAAAAATTTTTTTCAGTGATAGCCAAATTGCTTTTCAATAACCTGTGAAGAACAATGATTTTTATGAAGTCAAAACCGATTTGTAACAGACTTGCCGAGCCGCTCTCAGGCCGCTAAAGAGCTACATCCGGCTCGCTATCCGCGGCTCGCCCACCACTGATCTATAGGAATAAACTAACAGGGAGCAAGTACAGCAGGGATCTAACAGTCATCAGTAGAAGTTATCTTCGTCGACAAACGTTTCGGCCCACGATCTCCTAGACGTTTTCAGAGGTGGGCCCACCTGAGTTCATGAAGCTCAGGGCTGTTACCCTGCTGCACGAAAATACCGGATGGTGTTTTCTTTCGGATAGGGACAAGACGACTTGGTGCTTTGCAGAAGGTACTGTGAGATAAGAAGTCATCGCGGTAGCTTAATTAAAGCAGTCAGCATACCTGGACGACCGAGCGACAAGCTTACGTTTGGTATACCGGACACATGTTGGACTTTTGTTAGCAGGTGGCAGAGGATCACTGGCAGACAATTCGGACACGATGGACTTTCAAAGGATGAGAAACCCTTTTCCAATAGAAACCCGGACCAGCTCACCGAGGCCCGTCCCCTACGTTGTTTCGTTGCGTTCAAAGCCAGTTCGAGGCCCTCTCGGCTACCTCACCCAGTTTTTTAAGTGTTCGTTTCCGTTCATTAACGCGCAATCCTAGTTCTTTAATCACATTGTACAGTGAAGTGGAGACGAGACCTCTCGCTCCCACTTCGACGACAAAGACACGTACCGAATACGCCTCGTCTCTCCTCAGACCGGCTGCTAAATCATCGTATTTCTCGAGCTTGTAAGTGTGATTTTCGTCCATTCTCGACTCATACGGAACGGTTAGCTCAATTAGGATGAGCTGCCGTTTCTCCGCAGAGTGGAGAACTATGTCAGGTCGCAGGCCGGTCTTCCGGATTAACTCGGGGTACCTTTCATGGCCTGGCAGATAAACCGCCAGTAACCAGTCCCTCGCAGAGTCTAGCATAGATGGAGCAAATGCGTTTTTGTTGATTTTACCTTTTTTGAATTTGCCCAGCCTTGAGGAAACGAATGGGGACGATGGTAGAACTGGCCCTTGCGTTGGCCCTCATTCTAGCCTGGCCAACAACGGCTGCCAACTCTTTTAGCACCTTGTTGTGTCGCCAGGTGTATCGGCCTTGACCTAGGGCTTTCCTGCTCTCGGACACGACGTGTTCAAGCGTCTGCTTCGCTTTACACAACGGGCAAGTCGGATCGTTAGTCGCAGACCACTTAACCATGTTAACACCGGACGGTAATACATCGTACGCAAAACGAACGATAAAGCTCAGTCGCAGCGGGGTCATTCGCCAGACCTCACCCCATGTGAGTACTTTTGTCAATGCGCTCTCCAGGCTGACCCAATGGCCCTGCTGCGACTGCTGGGCTGCTTTCTGGAAACGAACCTCGTTTTCGTTGTCCCTCACCGTTTGTATTACCATGTCTCGGCGTACTTTGGCTGAGGCTTTTGACCACCAATTGACCTTTCCGTGACCTAGGCCTTGACTGTCGGTTTGAGTGTAACCCATTATCTCTCTCAATTTTAGTGCATTCTGGGCAGATTCAATCGCATCGAGGACTCTCCACTTCTGGCCAGTCTTTAGAGCGGGCTGGACAGCGATGACATTTGGGTCTGAAGACTGGCACAAGTGCATGGCGAGCCTTATTTTGCCAATTTTAAACTCTTCGGTTATCGATTTGAACGGGAGTACCAGCTTAGCCTGCTTGCAATACAGAGCCACGTCGGTCAGACAAGGCAGTGCACAAATCCACTTTCTTAAGGCTGTGTTGATTTTCCTCTCCATCGTCTCCACTGCTGTCATCGTCACTTCGTAGACCAACAGCGGCCAGAGGAGCTTTGGAATCAACATGAATTGGAGACACCATATCTTGAATTTACCGATCAGCCTGCACCGCTCGATCGCGAGCAAGCCTGTAGCCAGTGACTCGTGTATTCGCCGGACCTCCGCTTTATCAGATAACTTTGAATCGTAAACGCGACCGAGGCTCTTCATCGGTTCCTCCAGAACCGTGGGGATCTTGTTCCTTGCCACCGTAAAACTGGTTGCCGCCACTCGACCCTTACGGATTGACAGACTCCTCGACTTCTGCGGTTTGAACTGCATACCGCTCCATTGGACCACCGCGTCCAAACTTTCCAGGATCGTGCGGGCAGACTCCCCGCGGCCCGTTATAATAGTCGTGTCATTCATAAAGGCACGTAATGGAGGCATCCAGCGTTCCCCCATTTGAAGGCCCAGTCCGTAGCCGGCTGCCCTGTCCAAAATGATCTGCATGGCCATAACAAACAGTATTGGTGAGATCGTACACCCCATAGCTATCCCAATCTGCAGCTCAGTCCATCTCGTGGTAAACGTCGAGGTAGAGAAGCGCAAAGCGAGCTTAGAGAAATATTGCTCGATCATTTCGTTAATCTGTGCCAGTACGTGAAACACGCGAAGGGCTCGCCACAGTAGCCTATGGGGGACTGATCCGTAGGCGTTGGCTAAGTCCAACCATATCACGTGCAATTCGGTTCTCTTGTGTTTGGCTCTCTGAATAGCCTCCCAAATCATGGTCGCGTGTTTAAGGCACCCAGGAACGCCCGGAATACCACCCTTCTGAACACTCGTATCGATGTACTTGTTAGACATCAGATACTGTGTGAGCCGGCGAGCCATGACCGAGAAGAATATCTTACCCTCGACATTCAACAGCGAGATGGGCCTGAATTGGGAAAGACTCTTCGAGTCCTGCTCTATGGGAATGTAGACCCTATTCGCCTTTTGCCACTCTGGACATATGTGGTTACGGATCCACGCTTGTCTCAACAAGACGTGAAGCATTTTTAGGATTTTCGGGCATCGCTTGTAAAGAACGTACGGAACACCATTCGGACCCGGGGCAGATTTGCCGCTGGCCCTTTTCACTTCCTCAACCTCAGACCAAAGGGGAGGCATCATTTTAAATGGTACCTTCGGCAACTCAGGATGCTTGAGGCCGCTAAGGATCTCTGGATTGTCATCGAGAGGCTCTCTCCTCTTTTTGTCAGAGTACATCTTGCGTAGATGTGACTCAAGCTCTTCCTGACTGACAACCAGAGTCCCAGACTTCGGTTGCTCGAATAGACCTCGAGCAAACTGATACGGGTCCCTAAAGAATTTCTCTCGCTCCCTTTTGGTTCTTCTCCTGTTATTGCAGAAACGCTCAGCGCGACAGAGGGAACTGTGTTTGTTCTTTAAATGCAACCAAACTTCGTACAGCCCCTCCCGTTCGCTGCCTGAAGCGGCTTTGAACAGTTTTCTGAGGGCATTTTTGTCGGCCCGACACTTCAGATTGTCCTTCTGCCTCCTGATAGTATTCTGCTTGGCACCCGGCTGTGCCTTTTCTACTGTCCCGAACTCACGGGAGCAGTGTTCATATATTACATCACCGAATTTTGTAAGCTTGTCGCCTAACGACTTCATGTTTAAATCATGTTTAAGTATCTCACACAATGTACTCTCCAACCTACACCACACCACCTTATCGCTCGCAGGTGGAAACCTAATCTTGGAACGCACTTCCTCAGAAATTATCAAAGGTGCTCCTCATGCCAGGCCATGAAAGGTACCCCGAATTATTCCGGAAGACCGGCCTGCGACCTGACATAGTTCTCCACTCTGCGGAGTAACGGCAGCTCATCCTAATTCAGCTGACCGTCCCGTATGAGTCACGTATGGACAAAAATCACACGTACAAGCTCGAGAAATACGGTGATTTAGCAGCCGGTCTGAGGAGAGACAATGTGTACACGGTACGTGTCTTTGCCGTCGAGTGGGAGCGTGAGGTCTCGTCTCCACTTCACTGTACCATGTGATTAAAGAACTAGGATCTATACTTAAACCATTCATTGTTAGGGTCGCGAGGCAAGGGGTACGTTTAGACCGAGGTGCGTACACAAGTCAATAAAAACGGTTTATTCGATTTTTTTTGTCTGGAAATCCCGTAACATTTCTGCCTACGGCCAGATTTTCAAGTTCACTATTCATCTTGTAAGAGTAAGACTCGTTAGAAAGCTGTATTACCTTGAGTGACTTGCTTCTCCTTTGCGTTCAGCGGCTGTAAACTCCGACGGAAAGAACTGGTTCTTCGCCTAGCTTCGGAGTTTTGTCTGGTCACAGAACCTGAGTGTTGCGTGCATGTTGTTTTTGCAGATTCGACTTATTTGTATTCATATTGCCGGTTCCTTGCTTTTTATTCATATGCATTCCGGCTTCGAAGGAAGCCCCCCCACTTAGTCGACTCCCACGCCATGCTTTTAGGGTAGGCTGTGGGTCTATTCTTGTTTTCCCCACAATGGGATCTCGAAACCTTCACGTAGATTGTGTGACCTCACAGACTCTATTCTTCTTTCTTTCTTTTGTCAAAATCTGCTTGTGCCGCTAGGCGTCGCAGTCTATCAGATGATCGGCAACCGAGCCAGGGCGCGCTCAGTCGCTTCATATGCCGTGATGTTATAAAGTCTCAAGTTGTCCGTGACTCCTTCAATCCATATTCTTCTTGGTCTTCCCCTGCCTCTTGTTGTTTCGATTTTCATGTTGTATGCTCTTGATGCTGGCATCGTTGGTTCCATTCTCATTAGGTGACCAAACCATTTCATTCTTTGCTTCTCAATAAATTTAACGATGGGTATGGTTCCAATAGTTCTTGTAATCACATCGTTTCTCACTCGATCTCTTCTGGTTTTATTCGCAGCCATTCTCAAACATCTCATTTCACAGGTGGTTAGTCTTCTCTCGTGTTCTTTTGTTAATGTCTAAGTCTGACATTGATAACCTAATGTCGGTATAAAGATTGTATTTATAATTTGTCTTTTTATCTCAGCTGGGACAGCAGGGTGTTTTAAAATTGGGGCCAGCTGGTATGCGACATTGTTGGCTTGTTGGATTCTTGCTTCGATCTCCCTGTCTATTTTACCATTGGATGTAAAGATACTTCCCAAGTATTTAAATTCTTGCACTTGTTTTAGGCTGTGATCTAGAATCTTTATGTCGATGGTCTGTTGCTCTCTACTTATGCTCATGACTTCTGTCTTTTCAGTATTGATCTTTATTTGTAAGACCACAAACATTCCATGTTCCGATTGTTGTCGCTTGGCTAGTTTGTTTACAATGAGTGAGAGATGGCTGACCTGTTCTCCAGCCCCGATTGTTGTCGCTTGGCTAGTTTGTTTACAATGAGTGAGAGATGGCTGACCTGTTCTCCAGCCCCGATTGTTGTCGCTTGGCTAGTTTGTTTACAATGAGTGAGAGATGGCTGACCTGTTCTCCAGCCCTGGTTGTTGTTACGTTTGATGTATTTTCTAATCTCGTATATTGTTTCTAGAGCAGATTTTTGTGAACTCTTAAATCCACTGCCGATTTGCTGGACCTGACACAGATTCATCCTTAAGAGAACACTGGAAAACACGTAAATCACATCGAGAACACTGAAAAAATTTCACACCCGTTGAATAACACACACTGTTTACGTCGCCATCTGTTGACCACTGAAAATTCGCAAAGACGGTGTAACGAGATAGAGGCGTAGTTCTTACACCTTTGACTAGTTCCGTTGGAATTATCCGTCAGTTTAACTCGTAATAGACGGTTCAACGGAAGATGCCAAAGTGAAGAAATAACCGCGAAATAGAAGCAATGATACCTTTATTTCCAATCGACAATACGGACAGTAGTAATTACATCTTAAAAGCCAGATGTTTCTAGTTTGTTGTAAATAAATTAGCTTTAAAAATATTATTAAACTTACGAGATCACACTAAGGGAATCAAAGGATGGTATCTTTGACAGAGTCAATATTAACCATGACACCACTACTACTTGTTAGACTATCACACCATCACTCAAGTACATTTAGTGTTACTACAACAACTGCTACCACTGCTGCTACTACTGCTGCTGCTACTGTTGCTACTAATGCTGCTGGTAGTCCTCATGCTCCTTCTACCACTACTATCACAAAAAGTATAGTAACCATTGAACACTGCAACATTCTGGTTGTTCAGACCGCCCGCTGTGACGTTTCGTCGCCAATTGACTTTCGCTTGTTCATACCATGAGCTCATTTTTATGGCCTCATGTGTTTCTGGTGGCCTGTGTGTACCATGGGCACCTAACATATTTTGTCCTTTATTGTCCCTGTGATATTCACTTTCCCCTATCTTTTAAAGGATTCTCACAGTTATTATGATCGTCATCATCAGCATCATTATTTTATCACAGTAGTTATTAGAGCCACTGTGGTGTAGTGGTTAGACGCTCGTCTGCGGATCCAATAGTCTTGATTTAAGGTCCCTTCAGAGCCAGCCGTCTCTTTACAAAAATAGTTAGTGAATGCGTTTAGGAGTTTCATGATCTTCGAGTGCTAGGGAGTGTGAGTGCTTAGAACTCTGCACATTTTCTAAGCGCGGGAAGGGCCAGATTCACTGAAAATCTTTCTAGGCGCAGGAAGGGCCAGATTCATTGAAAATCTTTCTAGGCGCAGGTAGGGCCAGATTCACTGAAAATCTCCCTTGAAAATATTTTTAAGAAAGTAGTGGTGGGGGAGTGGGGAAGGGTGCTGAGAACTTGAAGTGCCAGAGTTCCTTATCAAGCTTTATATTTCCTGCGGATCCGAATGTCCTGGGTTTAGGTTCCTAATGGTCTCAGTTGTTTTCTTTTAAAGAATGACACTGACTCCCAGATCGAACCAGCCTTGAATATTTGCCAGGTTAATTCCTGGGAAGTAAAGGCGGTAGACGTGATGTTTACCACATCGCCTATACCTATTGCCGATTGGTTTTTAAAACAAAAGTCAGCCCATACGTGGGTCAATATGTTTAAAAACATTGAAAGTGTTCGTAGTTTATTTTTTTTAACTTACCTATGGTGTGGTACGTCTTCCAATAGGCTTTGCGGCGGTTAATTGGCAACGAACCGATCCTGCTCACAGCTACGTGTCCAGGATTTTCCTCCAAAGTCACCAAAGGATTTAATGTCCCAGAGATTGAAAAGTTCGTATCATTTTCATTTGGTAATTCGCTAATTTATATGTTTGCTTATTTGTTTGTTCGAAACCTCAGCTGAAATTTTTTTTTTTTTAAGAAAACCATCATTGGAGCTACAGTCCAATCAATCAAAATGATTTTTCAGACTCTGCGTTGGTGATCGGAATGTATAGATCTGGTGTCAATTGCATGCCTATCTATATTATTAAAAATGTTAATTTTCCGATGTTGTTAGCTAAAACCTCGGAAACTACTGAACCGATTTCTTTCAAATTTGCACACAACGTTGCCTTTGACTCGGAGCGTAAATTTGTGACATAAAATTGCGCAAATCACGAACGACGTAGCTACAGCAAAGGTCAAATCATTATTTGTTTCGTTGCCCACCCGGATTTATTTTTAATCTATTGACCACCTTTTACTGTGTAACACCGAACCACATTATTATTATATACTTTCATTTCCATTAACTTCTTGAGTGTTTAGTAGAATAGTTTGTTGAAAGCATATTGCTTTTTACTCGGGTTGATAGGGGTTCGATTCCCGGCTGGGTGATAAACTTTTTTTTGCGCCCCTAACTGGGTGGTTGCCACGTTTTGTTGTAACATCTACCCTTTTTTACCTTCGATTTTGGAGTTTACAGCTAGCCTGCCATAGCGGCGACGTGATGCTCAATGTTCATGTCACGGGTAATATTCGTTCGCCCTTGAAAGGGCGGTTGGCACGTAGTGATTTACAGCTAGGCTGCGATATCTGACCTAAAGTCTTCAGTTTTCGGTAGTAGAATTGTCAGTATTCCAACCTTCACGCGAATGACCGGTGTTCGATTCCTCGCTGGGTGCTAATGTTTATTTTTCCCCTTAGGGGCTATTGGTACGTTGTGTTGTTGTTTACAGATAAGTGGCGACATCTGCGCCTTACGCCCAAAGACATCCGATTTCAGTACAGTCCAAATTAGCCTCCCCCTGACGCTTCACTCGATCAAAAACTATTCGTTGATGACAGAAACTGTTGACTAAGAAGGCATACGGTCCAGTTTGGTTTGAGTAGACAAGGATGCCAAAGTTAATTAAACATCGTCCCTTCAGAGAGGGAGAGATGGCGAGTGCTGGTTTTTATGTCCACTGTTTGTGAGTATAGTGGACTTTTTTTCAAATCACGGAATATTACTGTGGGTTCCATCACTGGTTAGGTGATGGAGTTTTATGTCGGGGACACACTTAAACTAAACAGTCCAAGGCGACAGCATGCGGCGCCAACTCATCTGGCTACAACGACCTGTACAGACAGTAGTGGCCGTTTTGTATTGTTGTTGTTTTTGTGACGGTGGTGGTGTTGGTGGTGGTGGTAGTAGTAGCAGTAGTACTGGTACTCAATGGGTGATGTGGTAGCTGTTACATTGGCCACATTTACTTCTAAGTACATCTTAATGCTGCCCATTTTTGTCTGGGTGGACACGGATGGCAAGCTCAATTTAACAACAATATTTCGTCAGGCACTGATTTTTCAATACTTTGTAGAGGATGATATGATTGTCGAGGGAGGAGGGGGAGGGGGTGTTGAGGGGGGTTGATGCCAGACACTGGTAACTGAGACAGCTTAAAACATTATTTTACTGGTCTCATTTCCTTAACTATTTCTATTTTAGCAATATCGGCACATAATAATGTTTTCATAATTTGGAGAGGGAGATATAATTGGGCAGATGCTTGAGTTCTTGGTAGCGTAGTTGCATATTTTGTGTGTTACGCGGATCAATGCCCCGCTGGGTGATTTAATATTTTTTTTTTTTTTTTGCAATAAACTAAGCGGCTGGCACGTTGTGTTGTGGTTTACAGCTAGGATGCGATATCTCTGTTTCTTTCCCACTCGGTTTGGGGGTTTACATCTAGCCTGCGATAGCAGCGAAGTTATGTTGGTCATGTCACGGGTAATCTTCGTTCGCCCTTGAGAGGGCGGTTGACACGTTGTGTTGTGGTTTACAGCTAGGCTGCGATATCGGACCCAAACTCTTCAGTCTTACGTAGTATAGTTGTAAGTATCCCGCCCTTCACGCGGTTGACCTGAGTTCGATTACACACTGGGTGCTAATTTTTCTTCTTTCCTCAAGAGAACTGTTGGCATGTTGTGTTGTGGTTTACAGCTAGACTACGATATCTGCACCTTTCGCCCAAAGACATCCGATTGCAGTATACTCCCATTTATCCTCCCCGCGACGCTTCACTCGATCATAAACTATTCGTTGATGACAGAAGCTGTTAACTAAGACTGCTTTCAGTCCAGTTTACTTTGGGTGGGCACGGATGTGAAGGTCATTATCATTTGTCCCTTCGGAGAGGAGAGATGACGGGTGGGGGTTTTTATTTCCGCTATTTGTGAGTATAGAACAGACTATTACTCTGGGTTCCATCACTGGTTAGGTGATGGAGCATCACTTCAGAAATCCCGGGTAGTTAGCATCCTTTGTATATTCTCTCCAGGTCATGCCGGTGTGTTAGGAAATGAACAGGAGATAGACTGACCGGTTCTGCACCACTTGATGGTGAACTGATGTATGACAAGCTTGATGTTCTGAGTGCCCATTGGGAGCGAGTGAAAAGTGCAGAAGCGCAAATAGATCATTACGGTCTGAGGAGAATGGCGCTGCAAGGAGTTACTAGGAGATCTGACCGACGCTCAGCACTTGATATATTATCGGACTGTTACTGGTACAATCGGAATTGTAATTCTTCGTTTGCTGCTGAAGATGGGAACGAAGCACATATAGGAGTGTTCCGAGTGCTATGATGTCGATTCTTATTTAACACATATCCCACTTGCGTACATTTGATGCAGAGTCTATTTTCTGTTAACCCCAGATTTGTCGATTGTGTGCACAAACCATATTCTATTATGTCCAGATTGAAGATTGTGTACACAGGCCGTACTCCACTATTTCCAGAGTGCAGATTTTGTGCACAAGCCATTTCCAATTGCTCGCAGATTGTAGCTTTTGTGCTCAACACTTTTCCAATGGCTCAAAGATTTTGTTAACCACAAATCATGTTAACTTTTTTGCCAGTTTGTAAACATTTCCATCATCATAAGGTGCTGTACTAGAAAGCTTAGACATGTTTCGCCATCTCACTCGATCATCAGAATCACGGATCAGTTCAATGTTCTTGTCTCGCCTCATGCATAAGTCCAGGTCATGAAAGTATTTGTCTCTTTGCCCTTTTCATGCTCTCTGTCCATCAGTTTTGTCCGTACTTACCGAGCTCTCGAGTCCATTCTTTCTCACAAAATGTTCAACAAACATTGACTTCTACAAAAAATTGCTCTAGTAAGTTTGGACTTTCATCTCTCTCGGTGACCACTGTTTCATTAAATTCTCTATCCTCTAATAATATCCTTCACATTCTTCTCAGAAACCACATCTCTGCTGCGAGTGAATATTGTTCAGCTTGTTTGCGCACTGTCCAAATTTAATAAGTCAGATTCTACATGACACTTTTAATCTTTCTTGTGTCCCCTCACTGCAACTGCTATCTTTTTATTGGCAATAATCTTGTGTATCTGATTAAAGCCTACTTTTGCCATTTCAATAAGTGTTTTAATTTCAGGAACTCATTTTGCATCGTATGTTATGATTGTTCTAAGATAGTTGTATTTATTGACTTGCTACAGAATTGTGCCATTTGCATATATTTCAGAATTGCTGATGACCATACAGTTTATTTTCTGGTATTTTATCTCTAAGCTCTGTAGATTTCGTGCACAACCCATTGTTCATAGTTCCGAGATTCGAAAAATATTTGTCCAAAAATTATCATTATTCAAAATTCTCTTAGTCTTCTCCTACTTCGCGGTCACCAGCTGTAAACTCTGGCGGAAAGTTCTGGTTGTTCGTCCACTTCTGGACAGCAGCCCTGTTCCAAAACCTGAGTGTTGCGTGTGCATCCGTTTTACAGATTTGTCTCATCTGTGTGCAGACTGCTGGTTCCTTGCCTCTCAGGCAGATGCACTCCGACTTCGAAGGAAGCTCCCAATTAGTCGACTCTTACGACATGCTTTTGGGAAGGCAGTGGGTCTATTCTTGTTTTGCCTATAATTTTCTTAGTATTTATTGTCTCGTCTTCACCAGAAACGTGGATTTCGCATTCGTCAAGGGATTCGATCTCGTCTACAGTGTTATGCTTCACGCCACGTTTAGTAGCCCGCTCTACCATGACCAGCACATGTCACAGTTGCCGTTTCTTAACGTAGTAAGTGAGTTACACGTCTACAGTGTTTTCAGTCATGCAGTTGCAGCAGTAGATCGGGGAGTCTATGTGAATAGTTTTATAAACCTTGGTCAGGTCTGAGTCAGGTATATACTTCGCCCAAATATAGGACGCCAATTATTGCATTTTTAAAGCCACACCACGACTGTCGTAGGGGCACTAATATAACCTAACGGTTGAACGGGGTTTATGGAACTTGTACCCGGGTGATTCACATCCAAATAGGGGCACTTCGTGTCACCAGTTTGAAATCCTTGTCTGGGTGATCCTGGTGGGGTGAAAGTTACACCGTGATCAGATATGACCAAACTGCCGTACAACAATCTTCTGTTAAGGCCGACTGTTTTGGGGTGATGTATACCAAACCTGACATCCCATATTGTGCCAACAGCTTCGGGCAGAGAAGCTCATTGAGGAGGATTATAGCCTTATGATATGAAGAGGAAATGTAACCTGAAAACTGTATGTTATAACTGGGCAAACCAGGCCCCTAACCTTGGTGTTGCAACTGGTCTGGGGTGGGGGGAAGGGTGGGGGGGGGGGACTCTGGCATGCAGACAGAGTACTGCTCTTCTCATACAGCAGCTTCTGCAGCCGGCTTTTTTTTTCAAAAGGTACTGGTGTTACCCTTCCTTTGGAGTAAACAAGGCAGGCAGAAAGAGAGATCATGATGCATGGGCAACATATGGTCTCTACAATACTGTGGTATGGCGCAGGCGGGTGTTCCTAGTCACACTCGCCATCGCCATGGACTGTAAGTGATATCCCTTCTCAAACACAAGTTGAACTATTGTCTGGGCTTCTAGGTGGCGGCACGAATGACAATGGTGATGAAAGGCAATAGTGTGCAAATAGTTATGACCCTGTTCTCTGTCAGTTTTTTTAAATCGACTTCAGCTGCTGATCATTTGATCTGATCGCTTATGAGAAAAAAGGAGAAGAAATGGGAGTGTTTTTAAGATAGTTTTTTAATCCAGCTCTATGGCTCTGTACTTAGTGAATGCGTTTAACAAATTTATGATCCTAGAGTACTAGGATTCGATTTTTTGCGGCCGGTGGATCGATAAATAATGGCTCTAATGAATTGAAGACTGTCGTACCAGAGATGTGCCATGGAAGAATTCCGGGCCTCACTTGGCTTAATTTCCTCAAATGACTAATGCGTCGGGCCTCGAGACAATATTCACCGGGAAATTCAGACCAGTTCAAACATACAAACACACATACTAAAACAACGTACCAGGCAGAGAGTCCTGAAAACAGGCAGTCAGAACAATTTTTGAAAAAAAAAAAAAAAACAGAAAAGCCAATAGGTACTAAGTAAAAGGACGTGTTTTGACATCCGTGTATGATACAAACTCTTTTTTAAATTGATCCATCGGCGCTACGGGGCGTGATGTGGAAACAATTACGCCGATCGCCATTACTTCTTATGAGACTACATGGCGTCAAGCATCCATTAAAGGCTGTGCCAACCGGCAATGCAAGTTTTAATATGGACAAATAAATACACTCGAATGTGGATTTGACGGTAGAGGGTCAGACTGACCGGCAAACATCTGGTAGCTATCTAACCACGGCTCTCAAATAGATAATCAGTATTACCGTATCTCACAAAATGTATCAAGATCCGACTCAAAAGACGCCCCTTGACATTGGGACCCGTAAGTTCGCAAACATCCTTTCATTACACATTTATGGAACAATGAGGCCTCGAAGATGTGGTTTTACAGAACAATGCTTAGAATACCTTGGACAGCCAAAAAGAGCAACGAAGAGGTTTTGAAAGAAGCGGGAGCGCGAAGACAACCAGTCACAGACATCAGAAGGAGACAGTCATCATTTTTCGGCCATGTTATGAGAAGAGGGAAAATAGAACATTTTGTGACCACTAGAAAGATATGTGGAAGGAGAGATAGAGGAAGACAACGAGAGAAGATGCTTGACAGTCTTGTTGCATGGCATGGAGGTGTATCGGCACACGAACTGATACATGCTGCAGGAGATCGCGGATTATGGAGAGGCATGATCGCCCACACCAGTCTGCAAGGCACCTGATGATGATGATGGAAACTTAAATTTTGTTCGTCATAGAATCGAGAAATTACTCTCAATGCCATCATCCTTATGATAGTTAATCCCCAGTCCATCTGTGTTATTTGAAATGCCACTCTTCTCGAATGATTTGAAAACGATTTTAATCTTCACATTATCCCAAGATCTTCTCATCCAGGTACAAACTACTTCGTTTTTTTTTTAGATTCTGTACGCTATCTGCTGGTATCAAATTATCCGCAGAAGACTCCATCCATAGGTTCTATTCTTGGCAATTTTTGAATTGTGTGTTGATGACATTCGGTGGTGGAATGTTAGTGGATACCGGAATTCCGAATGTAACAAGTCAGAAACAGTGCCAAGATAAGGGCAACAACTGCTCCATCTCGAAGTAACTTATATTTATCCTTAATTTATACCCCTACCTCGCTTCTCCTATTTTATGTATCCAAACTCAAAAATTGTTTTCAGCTCTTTTCGCAAAGTAAAATAATCGGAATTGTAAAAAATAAATGGTGGTCCGAAAGGACGTCATGTAAAGAGGTGTTGCGAACTAGCTCGGTTTCCTATGAGGAAAGGTCTGGCCAAAATAGGAGTCAACAAGAGGACGAAACACACCACAAAAGAAGTCATATGGACCAAACCATTGAGAAGACTTTTATATACAAAACGAGACTCCACGAGGCAAAAAACATCAGGAAACTAGGGACTAGAGTAACACATGAGGACACAGAAAGAAAAAAGCGGTCCATCTATAGGATTACGGGCATAGAGCCAGCAGACTGGCGCACATATCACAATCTTAGCTTCGCTGCTACAGTAGGCTGAACGTGGTCGAGTATTGTTGTTTTCTTCTAGAAGTGAAGAGAATGGAATGAAGTCCCATTTTATGACGCCCCTGAACCGGCATTCTTAAATGAGTCCCTGTTATGAAAGTTTTCTGACAAATGATTTAGCAAAATTCTACCACCGTTGTGTAAGAGGCACATTGTTTCAAAACCCTAAATTTCTGAAAAATAAGGACGTCTTATACTTGGAGAAATACGGTAAAATAAATTTTACCACCCTATGGTGCACTTAAATACACCCTTGTGCCCTTTCAGAACTATTCCATTCACAACTGGCATAACCTGGGTATGCCCTACAGGAAGATGGTGCTGGGTGTGACAGCCGTAGGGCGTGTAGTGAAACTCTACAATATGTCCCGCACCAGTCCCAACTCACCAATCGACACACGAGTGCTCAGACTGGAAGTCTGTATGGGATACATTCCGGCTGGGCCTACCCAGAGGTTAGTTAATCACATCGTGATCATGTTGCAGGTTCTTTGCAGAACGTCGCTCTCATCTAATCTCTAGATTTTAACGGTCTGCTTGAAAGAAACTCGAACTCTCACCAACTCTCACCAGCTCTCTTCAACTCTCACCAGCTCTCACCCACTCTCACCACTCTCACCAGCTCTCACCAGCTCTTACCAACTCTAACAACCTCTCACCAGCTCTAACCAGCTCTCACCAACTCTCACCAACTCTCACCAGCTCTTACCAACTCTCACCAGCTCTCACTAACTCTCACCAGCTCTCACCAACTCTCACCAACTCTCACCAGCTCTCACCAAACTCTCACCAGCTCTCACCAACTCTTACCAGCTCTCACCAACTCTCACCACCTCTCACCAGCTCTCCTGCTTTGTGCACTTTCCTACTCAATAGGTCATTTATATTTTGGGCCAAGTTTTGTTTTGATTCGTCCCTGCTCCTTTTTTCTGGTAACTCTTCAGTCCGCAGCTATGCTTTCTAAACCGCTATAACACTTTCTGTGGTCAAAGTATTTCACTTTCAGATACATTCTCTCTGACTGTTCAGACGTTTTAGGATGCCAGTATATATTTTTGTCATCATCCATCGTGTTCAGCGAGTTGAGTTAAGTCAAGAATTGACATCACAGCACTCTTGGCATTCCCATGCATGCTCTTTCCTAAACTTCAGCAGCCAACGCAGAGTTCAAATACATAAGGCACCGGTCACGATCTGGTTATATGTCTGTCTTTCCTTTCCTCTGAGTGTAGTGAGCCGGCCAGACCCTCTGGCTACACCAAGGTGACTCGTTCTCTCCACGCTATAATAATCTTATTTCTCTATTGTTTCCGTTGCTTGCTTTCAACGGGCCTTGACCATGTCTGCCTTGTCATGTATCAGTTCACCACCCAGTGGTGCAGATCCAGCCAGTCTGTCTGCCTGTTCATTACCCCTCACGAAGGCATGGCCTGGAGAAAAGATCCAGAGTATGCTCACCACCCGTGACCTTTCCAGTGCAGCTTGCCACTCTGCTCAAAGCATTCCTGTCTTCACCTTTTTCTGCACGCTTTTAGAATATGTTACAATTACGACATGTGTATGCATCTTGTTCTATAGCCACTGGAGAGCTGCATTTACTGCCTTCATCTCCATCCTAATGCTAGATGTTGTGGTGTCATATGCTAGGATGTCTTGCACTAAAGATTTTCTATTGGCTTTTGCTTCAAACTCCCGGACTTTCCTCTCACCACCGAACCATCTGGAAAGAAAATCAGATCACCTGGGCGTGAAAAGTCTTGAATCAACTGTTGGACTTCCACCTTTGCAGCACCCTCTGGCCACTCTCTGTCACATACCGCTCGTGTCGCGTGTCTGATTTAAGAATTTCTCCTTAAGAGCCAACAGCAATCTGAAATGAATAATGTTGAGGCGTGGGCTCGTATTGGTCTAAGGGATCTCCCGTGGCCAAAATACGCTCAATTTATTTCAGGAGTAGGGCAACTTAAGTTCTGGAAATACAGAATATCTAATATTCCTAGGCACACTTGGCTGAACACCCCCACTACTATAAAAAGATAGCCCCCAGGCTATGATAGCATACTATCATAGCCATTTTCACACAGATTACACTTACTAATCACACACACAGCAAAGCTAGACAATTAGAATAGTGAAACAGGGACACCCAAGTCAGCCATGAAAATTTCTGAATGGATGTAATAATTGTAACACAATACATAAATATAAAGACAATCGAAATGATTCCCAGTGACTGGATTTCGGGAACTAACGTTGAAGAGATGATGTTGAAACAGCCAGGCAAATGTCCGAGAGTTCAGGAATCATCGTAGTGCCTATGGGTAGACATGTAATTGAGCATGTGGTAAGTCATCTCAGATGTTACTTATCCAATTTGGTAGGTCACTGCTCCCCTCAGTCTATGGTGATTTGAACAGGCTGACTCAATAGACTGCTTTTCATGTGGTTGATCTGGTAAACACTGATCTTCTCGCATATGAGAACAAAGGATTTGTGCTGGAGCCAAACAAAGCTCCTGAAGAAGGCTTTCTTGGAGTGATGATACAGGTGGTCTGCAACAACTGTCTCTCAGCCACTGGAACTCACACACAAGCTCCTGTCATGTTGAAGTTGTGGTAACAATAGGTAGGATTTTGGGTAGGTTTGGTGATAGGGATGGTATGGGTTGGTGATTGTTGGCTAGACTGTGACTCGTTTGCCTGACTTCTAAGGAGGCATCATCCTGTCAGGAAAGAACTCAGAATTAGTATTTATCTTAAGATTCACACACCAAGCTAAATTTATTTCCCTCTACCCTTCTCAGTCATTCAGAGGATAACTCTCAAGAACAGGAGACAATTTCCCATTCATTTTTCTATCTGTAAGTCAGTACAGGAGATAGGAGACAATGTACATAGTGGAGATAGATAGACACTACTACACATAGATCATCCTCTCTCCACCCTCTTATCTACACCCGCAGACAAACATTTTATCCCGTTCTTACATGCATATTGTGTACCTCCACAATCTGCCCACTGCACGCCCAGTGTTGTTGTGCTAAAAATAACCTCTGACTCAGAGCGCCTAGCTGGTCGACGTGCGACCCAGTTACATTTGTCTGCTAGTCGACACAAACTTAGAGAATAAGTGACTTGCTGGGTTTAATATCTTTATAATGGTGTGGGTCATGTAGAGCACAAACTACTAGCCTGCGAAGGGAAAGGCTTGATTTTAGGGGCTTGAGTGTCTTGACACCAAGAACGGCCTAGTTCTGTGCGGTCACACAGCTTAATCTTCCCTCCCTGCAGCAGCGGCTAACTTTATAGAGACATATTTCATAGTACTCGTAAACTATAATCAACTTACTCAAGCTTAGGAATCCTTCAAAGATTAAACTGGTATTTTGAATGCGCCAAGATTTTATCAGAGAGTTGAAATACGTCTAGACGCCTCAGAGATCTGGCAAAGAATGACCCCGCCAGATTTTGCTTGGCGTCTCTAGAAAATAAAGTCCTGTATTTGTGCCCCAAGGAGTAAAAAGGCTTTCAGGAATTCAGAATATTATTCTAGAGAATATCTATCCCACAGTTGCAAGTTTGAAAATGTAGACTTCTCAAAACAACTAGTGGGTCTAGAAATATTTATTCCACCGGATAGAGGTATATATCAATAGAAGGGACTATATACCCACCGGACGGGTTAAATTTGAAATGTGACCTGCCTGCTAGTGGCGTCAACGTCACGAATAGTCCACTGTGTAGGTTTTGGTTCTTCACTCCGTGACACTCTCACTGCAACCCCGGCCTTAAGTGATTGGTGTTTAGCGAATCCCTAAATAGCATTTCCGCTTAAAGGCCCATGTTTCCTTCTACAATAATAGCGAGATAGCCCACGACCGATAACTGTTTGTTACAGTTGTCACAACTGAATATATTCTAGAACAGTGGTTCTTAACCTTTCTAATGTCAGGACTCTTTAATACAGTTCCTCGTGTTGCGACAAACCCCAACCATACCATTTTTTGTCGCTACTACATAACTTTATTGAATATGTGTTTTGCGATGGCCTTTGGAAACCCCTGTGAAAGGGTCGTTACGCCAAATAAAAAATGTCGCGACGGACCCATAGGTTGAGAATCGCTATCCCAGAATATAGATGCACTTTTGTAGTGAAACGAACTCAATATATATTTCTTGATCATCCAAACGAAACAGCAATTTCTCGCTGTCGTTTGTCACTGATGTATGGTATACTATATGTAACCGGTCCATTTCCATTATTAGTCAAAATATTCCTGTTCTACACTGGCTCTTTTCAACTTCTTCAAACCATTTGCTACGTTTAAAATAAAATTGTCATATGTGTAGTTAAAGTGACTGTTTATCTTCGGTTAAATCCATCATGTGCAATAATTATTAAATCGATTTCAGCACGTAAAACACATTGTTAATTATTGACTATAATCTTTTTTATTCTCCGTTTAATTATTCTACATAGCCAATTACATCTTGAGGTAAGTTAGTTATCATTAATATCTGACACGCTATAGGCAATTAATTAATCAATGTTAATCTAAAACACTATGGAGTTAGTCAATGATGACCTTAAATACTGAGTTCTTTTAGTGCGCGTTGAATGTCATTATAAGCCGTCCCCTTGCGCGAGGCAAGTTTTGGTGGTTTTCAACCCGCACCCTGGCTGTTGCTGGGAGCCCTAATATCACATAACGGTTAAACGGGTTTCCACGATCCTTATCAGCATGGTGGCACTTTGTGTCACCGGGTGTTTATCGCTCTCTGTGATGTCCTTGTGGGGAAATACTTACAACATTGAAACGGTAATCTGGGAAACACGGAAGGAGGGAAAAGGGGGGTTCGGGTGAATTAGTCAATTTAGGGTGCTATAAAAATTCGAAAAAAAAAAAAAAAAAGAATAGAGAAACTGCCCTCTAAGAAGAATGTCGTAAAAGGCAACTTATTAGCTGTTTACTGAAATATGTTAAATGGGCTAAAACCTAAGACAATAATTTATTTGCAAACTACAAGAAATCGTTGCAATCGCCATATAAGGGCGAACACTCAAGAAAAAGATGAAAAAGAAGAAGAGTAAATGGAAGAAGAATAAGACCCCCCCCCCCCCCCCCCCCCCCCCAAAAAAAAAAAAAAAGAAGCGGAAGAAAAATAAGAAGAAAAAGGCGGAGGAGGAGGAAAAGAAGAAGAAGAACAAGTAAAACAGATAGTTCAAGAATACGAACAAGATCAAGAACAAGAACAAGTAGTATTAGAATAATTATCAAGATGAAGGACAAGAACAAGAAAAATGAGCAGATGATTAGGAACAAGAATAAGAACACTACATATCAAAAGAAGATAAACAGCAAGAACAAAAAGGCAGTCGAAAGAAGCAGAAAAAAATGATTCCAGTATATCATGTAAATAGGCTGACCATCATCTGTTACATTCTGAGGCTAGTTATTGGACGTTACTTATACCAACAGACACTCCTAGATCATACCGATGCGTCGTTAAAGGTTAAAGAAAGCAGTACTTTTGGCTTGAACTTTGACAGATAGAAATCAGAGGCATCGGTATAAATATATTGTTGAGCATAAATAATGGAATATTTTTGTCACTGTTGAAGCTGATGATATGTTGCCTTTTCTTCGTCTTCCATAACAGGTTTGCCTCCATATGTCTTCATCGAAACAATTCTTCGACAATGTCCAAAAAAATCCATACTTGGTCAGTGGCGATCTCTGGGTTGGGTACGAGAATGAACGAAGCCTTGAAGAGAAAGTAAGCTTGTGAGGCTGGCTCGATGTGGTAATCTAGAATCAATTGTGGCACTGATTCAAACTATTTTTTTTTTTTTTTTCTGTCGAGTGAAGAAATCCAGAATTGACATCACTGCACTCCGGACATTGGAACACGTGCTCCTGTCGCCTCAGCTGAGAGGCTGATAATTCCATTTGCAGCCTGAATAAAAGTCCGCCTATTCTCCGCCAGTGTTGAATATCTCCCAGAACATCTACTCACCACGTCCTCCCCCCCCCCCCCCCCCCCAGTTGAATTAGTCTTTCAATGAAGCGATTCTCTGTCTGCTCTTTTGCAATCTCCGTCTGATGCCAGAGAGACTTCCCTCGGGTCCGCTTTATCATAAAATAGCTCATAGCTTCTCATGCTGAGAGAAGAAATACAATCTAGAAGACGATCTGGAAAAAAAGTATACTATAAACTTCCACATCTGCTGAAGTCAAAATGTCTGTCTCCCAACACCAAGATCAAAATATATAAATCGTTGATAAGACTAGTGGTTTTTTTTATGGCTCTGAAACTTGGAACATAACTAAATGAGATTAAGCCTTAATTACAGATTCTGAAAACAGTCTTACGACGAATCTTTGGACCCATCCAAGATACAAACAGAGGGGAATGGAGAGTAAGTAGCAACAACAAAATTCAAAGTTTGTTTAAATCACTATTTACAACTGGCATCATGAAAGCTAATAGACTGAAATAGTTGGGCACAATGAAAGAGTTGCAGACGACAGAGAAGTAAAAACTATAAACAAGGGGGATAAATGGTGGTAGACCACGAGGCAGCCAAGAAGACGTGGGAGAGATAATGTCCAGACAGACCTGCAAACACTTTTTGTCACCAACTGAAAAGATAAGCCAATCAGAGAAATGAATGGAGGCGGGTAATATCTGCAGCACTGAACCTCAATGGCTCGGAATGCTGAAGACAAAAAGGAAGAAGTAGAAGAGCAAGAAGAAGAAGAAGAAGAAGAAGAAGATAACAGAGGGGCGGCAGGAATCTATCAGAACGCTCGTTACCATGTACATCTGATATTCCGTGAGTAATATCCATGACGATTCTCATCTGAATCTTATAAGTTTATGAAAGCCACTGTGTGTGCCAGACGCCGGTTTCAATTGTCGAAGCACACTCAGTGAGTACGTTACAATCGGGATTGTGCTTTCAAACCATCGGAAAGCTACCGGAACTGCCTCTCCTCAATTCTCCTACCGGATGTAATGACGTCGTAAACAAGGCTTTATGTTTACAAATAGTGTACATTCACCTATGTAGTAAGATCTTACTCATTGATCATACCTCTCACTACAGACCCATATGAATATATTGTAATGTCATCTGGGCGTAAATTGTCATTGATCAGCTGCTGCACCGCTGATTATTTCACCAGCTATCCATTCCTTTTATACTCGGTGTAAAATAACCATAATTCTTCTCAGGGCTGTGTTTTTTTTTTTTTTTTTTTTTTTGGGGGGGGGGGGGGGGGGGGGGGGGGGGGGGAGGGGGGAGGGGGCGATATGTGATCCATTACTCACCATGTGCTATTTCGTCAGTGGTACACACATTACCTATTTAGTGATTTCTGCTTGTGCCATCTAAGGGCCACCTCTTTTCAGCCATTGTCCCTTGCTTTTGCGTATCGCCCCATGCAGAGGATATTCCCTGTCTGTCGGACTTTATAGTAAATGTTCTCCATTAACATCTTGCAATGCAAGTATGTGCCGAAGAGACTCAAATAGATTCATTCTGTATTCGCTCTAGCTTTCCAATTTAGGTATGAGATAACGCTAGCCGTCGCTAAAGCCTATTCCATCAGTGAATTAATTGAGTTTCCGGTCGAGTGTACAGAGTATGTTCTGTTTATGTCCCGTTGGTGCTATCGCCTTTCAAAAGCATTAGGTCCTTTCTTTATCTTCAAAACTACCACTTCGACTTGGTATTTGAAAGGCAGGCTTCTATCAAAGGTAATTCCTAGTTATTTTAGTGAATTATCTCTGTCTATAATGCTGCCGTTTATTATGATGCCCCGCAAGCCATCCCTAACATTTCTTTTTTTTTTTTTTTTTCAAAACCACAATACTGCCGCCCTATCTAGGTTGATGACTGAAACTGTTTCTGACACCACTAACTGACCTTATCTACCGCGACTGCAGTACTCTAGATATTTCAATTCCATTGTTTCTCTGTGTGTAGGCTAAACATCGACAGCAAAATTCAAGATTTGCCCTATACTCTATTGCCGCGCTGCTGCCTGTCTACTTTCAAAATCATTCTGGGAAACTGAAGAACCCTGTCCAAGGCTAGGGTCTATATTACATAATTCAGAGCTCCGCGAGTCTAGGCGACAGGCAGTCTGCCGTTCACACAGGAGTGCTGCAATTAGTTAACAACTTAGCGTCTGGCCTCCATATCCACCAGTGTGTACGGTAAAACGTCACATCTAACACTCGTTTATGCATGTTCTAGATCCAGTACCGCTAACGATGTCTCAAACTCATTCTGAAACCCCTCATTTGCATCGAAAGCCAGGAAAGTTTTCTTTTTTGGTTTAAAGAAAGTACATGTATGCATTAGCTGACGAAATCCTCTCTTTTGCATAATGTTTTTGGAATTGGAAACACTTTGTATTTATACAGTGTCCGTGATCTAACAAATAGAAACTGCTGTCCTACGCTCAGCGACTCACATAGGAGGCTTATCGTAGATTTTTACCAAAGATATTCTGGTGCGCGAGGTAAAGAGTAACCTGATAGATTAGCTTCCTCTCTGTGCGGTCAGCTGCTGGTTTGTAGAGTGGTCATGATTAAGGCTCTCTGGGATCAAGCAAACAATGAAGGTGAACAGACACAGCATACTGGTTTGTTGGATCAAGCAAACAGTGAAGGTGAACAGACACAGCATACTGGTTTGTGGGATCAAGCAAACAGTGAAGGTGAACAGACACAGCACACTGGTATGTGGGATCAAGCAAACAGTGAAGGTGAACAGACACAGCATACTGGTATGTGGGATCAAGCAAACAGTGAAGGTGAACAGACACAGCACACTGGTATGTGGGATCAAGCAAACAGTGAAGGTGAACAGACACAGCACACTGGTATGTGGGATCAAGCAAACAGTGAAGGTGAATAGACACAGCACACTGGTATGTGGGATCAAGCAAACAGTGAAGGTGAACAGACACAGCATACTGGTTTGTTGGATCAAGCAAACAGTGAAGGTGAATAGACACAGCATACTGGTTTGTGGGATCAAGCAAACAGTGAAGGTGAATAGACACAGCATACTGGTTTGTGGGATCAAGCAAACAGTGAAGGTGAATAGACACAGCATACTGGTTTGTTGGATCAAGCAAACAGTGAAGGTGAATAGACACAGCATACTTGTTTGTGGGATCAAGCAAACAGTGAAGGTGAATAGACACAGCATACTGGTTTGTTGGATCAAGCAAACAGTGAAGGTGAATAGACACAGCATACTGGTTTGTTGGATCAAGCAAACAGTGAAGGTGAATAGACACAGCATACTGGTTTGTTGGATCAAGCAAACAGTGAAGGTGAATAGACACAGCATACTGGTTTGTT